CCAGGAAAGGACACGTGGTCCTCTGTCCCCCTGAGCGCTGTGTGCGTGTGTGCCCACACGTGTGCACGGTTGAGAAGGGAGGTAAACCACAGAACTCCCTCTGCTCCTCCAGAGGCCCTCTTTGTTTAGTGCTCAGAAACTCTGAGTCATGGTAGTTGCCACAGGACCTCGGCAAAGCCCAAAGCCTTCCTCCCTTCCCCTCCCTTTCCACCTGCTCCAGCTACAGATTGGGTGCAAAGGTCACAGCAGAGGCGGTGGCTGAGAGCCAGGCCGCAATCCTACTGGGCTGGCGCTCCCAAGAGGCCAGGCTGCTTAGACTCCAGCATTGGGAGGAACCAGCGCCCGGGTCCAGCAGAGCCTAGGCCTGGCTGAGACTATTTCTGCAGTTATGGAAACCTGGTAATGTTACCACAGCCACAAAGCCATGGGAGCCACAAATCCACGGGAACCACACTGTCTACAGAGACCCCACAGCCACAAAGCCACAGGAGCCACACTGTCCACAGAGACCCCACAGCCACAAAGCCACAGGAGCCACACTTTCCATAGAAACCCACAGCCACAAAACCACGGGAGTAACACTGTCCACAGAGACCCACAGCTGTGAGTCCATGGGAACCACACTGTCCACAGAGACCCACAGCCACAAAGCCATGGGAGCCACACTGTCCATAGAAACCCACAGCCACAAAACCACGGGAGCCACACTGTCCACAGAGAGCCACAGCCACAAAGCCACAGGAGCCACACTGTCCATAGAAACCCACAGCCACAAAACCACGGGAGCCACACTGTCCACAGAGACTCACAGCCACAAAGCCACGGGAGCCACACTGTCCACAGAGACCCCCAGCCACAAAACCACGGGAGTCACACTGTCCACAGGGACCCCCACAGCCACAAAGCCACAGGGGCCACACTATCCACAGAGACCCACAGCTGTGAGTCCATGGGAACCACACTGTCCACAGAGACCCACAGCCACAAAGCCACGGGAGCCACACTGTCCATAGAAACCCACAGCCACAAAACCACGGGAGCCACACTGTCCACAGGAACCACACTGTCCACAGAGACCCACAGCTGTGAGTCCATGGGAACCACACTGTCCACAGAGACCCACAGCTGTGAGTCCATGGGAACCACACTGTCCACAGAGACCCACAGCCACAAAGCCACAGGAGCCACACTGTCC